ATTGAGCAACAAGGTAATTGTCAATTTCCAGGTACCAATTGAAGCAATCAATCATGAGACTGATGGGCTCATGGTGGTTGACAATTTTTAAGTTAATGCCACGCTGCACAAAATACCGTGCCATGGCAAGTGTATGCAAGACGAGTAGCGGGGAACAAAGCAGTTTATTCAGTAATGCAGCCGAGTACATAAGGAGGCTTGTGATAAGCGGATCGAGTGTTGCACATGAGCATTGGTTGCCGTGCAAGCGTGACTTTCACTCTACTACATCTTCCCTTCTTTGGGGCAAAAAAAGAGACATAACACACACACACACACAAACAAGCGTTGAGGAAATTTTTCGTTTGCAAACATGGATAGCCTTGCTATTTGTGACGTTCTGGCAATGGATAACGTTGCGGCTCTCGGCGTACGCGCTCACTTCTTCGAAGGACCTGAGTTGAGTCTGATGGTGCTACTTGGGTTTCTGCTGGGGACTCGCGGGCAGGCAACGAGACTTCTGTGGCCCTAAGATGTTATCTTGTGCGGCGCAGCTGCTGCCCATTGTCGTAGTCACCACGTAGGATCGCGTGGGCCCTGCAGGACCGACCATTATGGCTGGAGCCCACGTTCTGCTGCGTGTGTCATATACGGACACTCGGTTTCCGCTATGAAGGTCTGGCTAACTCCTTGTAGTTCTGTGGTAGTAGAAGCACTGTTTATGTCGTATTTCTTGCAGTCGCTGATGAACAGCTTCTGTGGGAACTGTTTTCGATTCCAAGTGACAGTTGAGGACCGGGAGTTGGCTTCGGGTGTGACGTCCCATGAGCTTTTGAACTGGCGATTGCAGCCATTCGTCCTTCGGAGTGTTCCACCATTCCAGCAACGCACTGTATTATTCAAGGGTGGCAAACGGGCACTTGTTTAACAGATGCTTAGCTTCCTGAACAGCGCGTTCTGCTAAGCCGTTGCCGCGCGGGTAGTACGGGCTAGACGTACTGTGGTTAATATTAAATTTGCTCGTAAAAGCTTGGAAGTTCGTGCTGTTGAAAGGCGGGCCGTTGTCACTGCACAACTTCGCTGGAATGCCATGCCTTGCAAAAATTTCTGCCCTTGCTTTGATTACTGCAGCAGTGGTGGCATGACTAAGCTTGCGAATCTCAAAGAAAAATGAGTAAGAGTCAACGACTATGAGGGATTCATTGCCTTCGTGATGAAAAAGATGCACCCCGACAACTTGTCATGGCAGAGTTGGTAACTCGTGGCTGATCATGGGAATTCTTGCATTTCTTTTTTTGTATTTGTCGCAAACAGCACGTCTTCGTTACATCTGAAATATTAGCATTCATGCTTGGCCAGTACATTACCTGTCGTGCCCTTGCCTTCATTTTATCTTCGCCACAATGTGCAGCGTGGAGCAGGCCGAGAACTTCTCTGCGCTTTGCTGGTGGAATGACAAGCTTGTTACTTCTGGAAAGCAGCCCGTCCTCGACGTGGAGCTCATACCGGAATCTCCAATATGGCTTTAAGGCATCCGGCAGCTGCTGCTTGCTTTGGGACGACTCTGTACTTGCGTAGCGGCAGAGCTCGGTCATGAGTGTGTCCTTCTCGGTCTCTGCTTTCATGCTGAGTAGCTGCCGATCTGAAACAAGTAACGAAGAAATAGCGTTGACTTGAAAATGTTTCGTTTCATCCACCAGCTCTGTTTTGCGAGGAAAACGTGAAAGTGCGTCGGCCAAAGACTGTTTTTTCCCGTTTTGTATGCCACGGCGATGGGAAATCTTTGCAGCACGAGGCGCATGCGCTGAAGACGAAGAGGGCAATCGTAGAGTGGTTTTTTGAAAATTGATTCAAGTGGCCGATGCTCGGATTCTACTGTGGTTAAATGCTGTCCGATTATGTAGTCTTTGAACTTCATACAGCCATTAGCTATGGCTAGGGTTTCTTTTTCGATTTGTGCATATTTCTGCTGCGTGGCCGTTAAAGAAGAGAGAGAATAGGCTATGGGGTTGTCATCTTGTAGGATGACTGCGCCGACGCTGTACTGACTCGCGACCATTTCACTGCTTTGAACTGGTCAAAGTAGGCTAGCACTGGCGCTGTAGCAAGACTGGCTCACAACTTTTGGAAGCTGTTTTCCTGCGCTTCTGTCCCCGTCCATGCGACGTCCTTCTTAAGCAACAATGCATATGCGTGGATGCAACAGACAGGTTTGGGATGAAACGCGATACAAAGTTGACCATTCCAAGGAATATCTGAAGCTCCTTACGGTTTTTCGGCACAGGTACTTGAATGATGTCTTGTACTCTTTCTGGATCCAATGACAGTCCTTCTGCCGTGTGGGGAGGTGGCCCATGTAACGTACACTGGACTGCAAATATTGGCACTTCTTTCTGTTGAGCCTTAAATTGCATTCTCTGCAGCCTTCAAGCAAGGCAGTGAGGTTTCTGTCATGCTCCTGCCTCGTCTTTCCCCAGACTAATATATCATTAATCACGACCACTACGCCAGCCAAATTTCCCACCACTTCATGCACGGCACGTTGAAAAACCTCTGGTGCCGATGTGATGCCGAATGGCATGCGTAGAAACCTATACCTTCCAAACGAAGTGCTCATAGTGCACACACGCGAACTTTGTTTGTCAAGGGTTATTTGCCAAAAGCTTGAAGCAGCATCGAGCATGGAAAAATATTTGGCTCCTTGAAGCCGCGGCAGTACGTCGTCCAAAGTCGGCATATGATACTGCTCTCGCAAAATCGCCTTGTTTAAATCTGAAGGATTCAAACATATGCGTACCTTCCCATTCTTTATTACTACGACCATGTGGCTGGACCACACGCTCGGCTCTTTCACCTTTGTGATGACGCCATCGCGTTCCATCTCGTCTAGCTTTGCTTTCACAGGTTCTTGAAGGGTGACGGCAACTCTCCTTGCGGGTTTGATGGTTGGTGGTACATCGGGTTTAAGCTGCAGGCGATAAGTGAAGTCTTCATGTTGTCCTAGGCCCTGGAAAATATCATCAAATCCGGATGCCAACGTGTCAGACGCTTTGACGTTGACTGCATTTATGCGTTGTATTAGGCACAGTCTCTCAGCGACTTCACCACTTAGTGTAACTGGCACCTCTTGAGACGACAACAAAAAACGTAACCTTCGTGTTCTGCGTGCTGCTAGAGACAGCAAGGTTTATATTTCCGATTGCTTTTTGTGTGTGACCGAAAAAAGTACGCAAGGTAGCTGAACTGTTTTGTGCAGAAGCCATGAGAACTTTCAAAAGACAGATTCTGGTATGACACAACAGTTCGCTCTTGTGTCTATTTTGCACCTGATCATAGCACCGGCTACATTTAACGTCACCTCCCAGTGTTCATCATTCTTGATCGCGTGAACTTCCAACGTTTGCAGGAAGTATTCTTCGTCGTCGGCCATTTCTACATGTTGTATGTGTCGTCTTTCTGACCGCGTTTCCATGCTTCGAGTGCGACACACGCTTGCAAAATGATTTCTACCGTTATATTTCTTGCAATATTTCCCCATTGCCGGACATCTTCAAGATCTGCGATGTTGCAAGCCGCATTTCGGGCAGGGGGCGGTTTTTGTTGTACCGCGTCAATGCTTTTTTCAGATTCAAAAGAAGCGCTGCTTCGGATTTCAGCGACCCGTTCTTTACTCTGTTCTTTAGCACGGCAAATCTCAACCGTTTTGGCATAGGAGGGATTATCATGGATAAGTCTCTGCTGAAGTTCCTTGTCTCGTATCCCAAGGATTATTCTACTGCGTACAAGCCTATTATTCAGCTCCCCGAATTCGCACAGCGCTGCTAGAATCTAGAGCTCTGTGATAAAATCGTTAAACGACTCGCCTTCTCGCTGGTTTCTGGAACCAAACCTGAACTCGTTGAAGGTGAGGTTTGTGACTGGTTTGTAGTGGTCTTTGAACTTCCGGGTTAGGACATTCAGGTCTTTCTTGTCTTCCTCCTTCTCAAGTTTAAAGGTTCGAAAAACCCGCCTTGCCTCTTCGCCGATGGTCATGAGAAATGTAGCTGCTTGAACATTTTGCGGCTGTGTCTTCAAATTCGTTGCTATTGCGAAAAGTTCTAACTCCCTTTTCCAGATGCTCCAGTAATGGTAAACGTCGCCAGTGGTGTCGAGCGGCTTGGGGGGTTGTAGCAGTGTCGAACTCATGGTTGTGTCTGCAGTTCTGGATGATCCGGTCTTGTCTCGCGGGCTTGGGCGTGCGGGACGCTCGTCCCGTACTGTCTCCGTTAAGGCTGTGGTTACATGGAAAAGCTTGCTGCACGGCAGAAACTAACTGCCGTGACCACTTCTGACACCATGTATGCCAGACGAGTAGCGGGGAACAAAAGCAGTTTCTTCAGTAATGCAGCCGAGTGTATAAGGAGGCTTGTGATAAGCGGATCGAGTGTTGCACATGCGCGTTGGTTGCCGTGCAAGCGTGACTTGCGCTCTACTACAGCAAGGTGGCCGTCAATGCACGCGGCTCTCAGTGGCGTAACATTGGTCCGTGTTTTAGCGTTCGCGCGAGCCCACCGTTGCAGGAGCCTCTGCTCTACACAGACGTGGCCCGCTGCACACCACAGAGGTGAAGTTCTCTTCATGGTCTCTCCTTTGAAGCTCACCGAGCCAGCCTGTTTTTTGTTAGCTTGGTGCCTGTCAAGTTCTGACGTGTCAGAGCCTGAAAGAAAACTGTCAAGGTGTCGGCCCGCAGAGCAAGAAGCTACAAGAACTGGCTGCTCGCGCATCTTAACAGAGGTGTGGTCGAGGCTCTACAAGTAACGCAAGCTTAAAACAACAAAAATAAAAACGCGGGGATACTAATCGAAGCTCTTTAGAAAGGAAGCTTATACATGAAAAGTAAACTCATCGCACTGGTAGGTTTGGGAGGTGAGAGATAAAGACCCCAAGGATCACGCATGACAGGTGCTGCATAGTGGACGTTGTGAAGCAAGGCAGTATTACGAAGTACATTAAATAACGCAGCATGCATTTGTTTGACATACCGCGAGTGTACAGGTCGCAATTGCCAGCAAGGCGGGTGCGCAGCTTCGCATTCCCGCGGAACAAATGGCAAGTTCCAATTTCGGTTCCTTCCGGTGCGCAGAACTGAGTGTGCAGACATTCGAAGTCGTGGTTTGTCGAGCAGTTTGCCAGGCAGTCGGGTAAGTGCGTGTTGTTCAGCACAGCGGCCGGCTGCGGCCTGTACACTTCGTGACTTGGAAGCACCTTGTACTCAGCAAGGTAGCCTGTACAGAGTGAGAACATTGACTGAGACTGCGGGAGTGCAAGCAGTCAGCTTTTCATTGGGAATAACTTAGACGTGTTGAATTAGATTTTTTCGGGATATATCACTCTGGTGATCGATTTCAGAATAGAACAAGGTATGAAATAATATCTCTGTGTTCCTGCTGCGGCCAAACGGTATTAAGCTCCTAGTATTCCTAGCACTTGCACCAATCCATGACAATAGCAAAATAATAAATAGGCAATTTGCATGCACACCAAGAACCACATGGCATCATGGCTGACCGTTGTATATACGGTAAATTATCTTGCAGAGATGAGCAAGTTCTCAAGCTCCTCGCTTCATTTGTGCCAGCTGAAAAAAAAACTTTTATATATTTTTGCACTTTTTGAGCCTATTTGCATGCAATAATGCGCTGAAGTGCTCGTAAAGTACTCGAAAACTGTTTGCGTTTTCAATTAGCAGCAATGTATTGTAATACAAGACCATCATTTGTTTCTGTATTCGCGATT